AGCTTGGCTGGTTTGATTTGCGATGACAAACAAAGATCCCAGGGACTGCTCCGCTGGAGCTAAATGACAGGCACGCTGCATTTGCATCGCTTGGTCCTGGGGTGCATCAGTACTACTCGCTGCGGTGTGCCTGTCGCTCACAGTAGAATGGCGGTCAGTTTTTACATCTCGATGCAGTAACCCAGGCGCAATCAACTTCAAGATCTGTACGCCGAGGTGGAGTGGCGCTGCGTAGCTAGAGAGCGCCAGATCTGACCTGCAACCTCCCCCGTGGTCTGCAACCTGCCCCGTGACCTACAACCCGCCCGTGACCCGCAACCCACCCCCGTGACCTGCGACCTGCCCGTGACCTGCAACCTGTCTCCGTGACCTTCGACCTGCCCCTGCGACTTGCACCCTGTCTCGAAATCCTGCAACCTGTCCTCGTGACTTGCAATGTGATCCGGCGGCATGTAACCTGACGTAGTGTCCTGCAACATGACTCATTAACCTGTAACCTGATCCTGTGATGAACCACCTAACCCCTTGACCTGCGGTCAGCACGTTGACCCGCAACCTGACCCAGCGGCCTGCTTAGCCCCGTGGTCTGCACCCGCACCGTGATCTGCAGGCTGGCCCCGTAACCTGGCATGTTGCAGCCGCGTCTGAAGTCTCATCTGTCCTGGGCGGATATTTTGGTCAGCGCCTGTCCCGCCACTGCCGTGCCAGGACATCCAGCTTTCCTCCGCTGATTACCACAGCTCAGCTGACCAACTGGCCCGAGGTGTTACCTTACATATTTCGTTTACTAACGAAAACAGCTCCGATAGTGAAACCACCCGTGTATGGTGTTCGTTAAGTAGGCGATCTATTCAGCGGTTTATTCGGCGACGAGCTCTGGTTTCTCTGAAAAAAGTCTCAACACGAATGATGGCACAAGAACATCGAAAATGGCTTTTAATTGGCAACATTGTGTGACCTTTGAGGTCAAAAGGTGGGTCAAAGGACGGGAAACTCAATATCACAAAAATACCGGACGATGTGCAAACTGCAAGCATTAAAATACTCACAAGCTCAAGAGCGTCTAGCGTCACTAGCGTCCGTCAAAAAGTCCTGTCCGTTCAAGATCACCCTTCAAGTTCAAACGCAGTCTCAAGGGACGGGGAGCTGAATACCATCCAAAAATTACCGGCCCATATTTAACTTGAAAACATGAGAATATTCCAAACAGAAAAAAACTAGCGTCCATCAAAAAGTCTTGACCTCTGATTGTCACATTTCAAGGTCAGAGGCGGGCTCAAAGAGCGGGGAACTCGATGCCACCTAAAAATTACCGGCCGATTTCAAAACTGACAGCATAAAAACATTCACAAGCGGAACATTTAGCGTTCGTCAAAAAGTCCTGACCTTTTAAGGCTACCCTGCAGGGTCAAAGGCGGGCTCAAAGGACGGGGAACTCAATATCACCAAAAAATTACCGGCCAATTTCAAACTTAAAAACCATCGAAATATTTACAAGTCTAGGAGCTAGAGTTCGTCATAAAAATCCTGACCTATCAAGGACATCCTTCAAGATCAAACCCAGGCTCAAAAGACGTGAAACTCCATATCACCTAAAAGGTACCAGCGGATTTTTAACTCGTAGATATGAAAATATTCAACTCAGAAAGAGCTAGCGTCCGTCAAAAAGTCCTGATCTCTCAATGTCATCCTTTAAGGTCAAACGTGGGCTCAAGGAACGAATAACTCAGCATCAATAAAAAATTACCGGCCGCTTTAACCTTGAAAACATCAAAATATTCACAAGTTCAAGAGCTAGCGTTCGTCAATACTTCCTGACCTATTAAGGTCATCCTTTAAGGTTCAATGCGGGCTCAAAGGACGAGTAACTCAATGTCAATTAAACATTACCGGCCTAATTTAAGCTCAAAGTCATCAAAATATTAACGAGTTCAAGAGCTAGCGCCCGTCAAGACGGCCTGGCCTCTCAAGGACATCCTTTAAGGTCAAACGTGACCTTGAGAGGTTACGACTTTTTGATGGACGCTAGCTCCTGCAACTACAAATGTTTTGATGCTGGCAGTTTTCAAATCGGCCGGTGATTTCTGGGTGGCATCGAGTTCTCCGCCCTTTGACCAACTTTTGACCTCAAATGTCACGTGATATTGCAAAGTATAGGTAATTTTCAATGCTCCGTGCCAGGATTCACATTGAGACTTTTTCAGAGAGATTGGAACTCGTCGCCGAATAAATCGCTGAACAAATCAAGAACTTCACGGGCATCCGTGGATACGGTTGTGCTTACTGGTGTCTTTAAATCCCATTGGTATCATTGTGCATGCTGTCTGTATTTTCTACAGTATGTTGCACCAGCCCGTAATTTCACCAAATCAGTAGCTTAATGTTTATGTTGTTGCATGCCATTAATGATGCTCATAAGGCAACGGATGGAACGCACAAGAAGCTTTGTCTGGTGAGATTTATCTGATGTTTTCAACGTGGAACAATCACGTTCGCAGAACGCAGAGCACTGTTACCCCAAGCGTCGTGCTCCCTATGTCCCGGGCAGTAAAGTGGCGACATAAGTGGGAGGATCGTCGCCGTTTTTTTCTTCAGTAGCGATCTGACGATGATTTTATTTGAGCGCTTTGTGCCGTGCCTGGTCACGGTCAAAGCCAACTTCTGGCATGGTGTCAACCGCAGCCCCGGTATCCTTGGAGTGACGGTCACTTATTTACGTCATCGGAGTGCTTGGAGTGACATGCGACAATTCTCATTGCCGATCGAAATATTATTTAAATCTTGTTCGTGCTACTGAGGTTTTTTTGTTTGTTTTTAAGCACAAATTCGGAACATGTTGGCATAGCATGTTCGTTACACATGGAAATACGATACTGAATGTGTTCGTCATCAACATATTAACTCAGTCTTTGATGCTACGTTCAGTTATAGACAAAGTCCGATGTTGAAAATAGGCCTGTTTCGGGGCCTCATTTTGTCTGGCGTTCCCAGTCCGACGGCAGGGACTTCGAACCCGTCGGTAGCATCACCAGCCCGGGGTCCGAGGGGAAGTGGTAGCACGTTGTGTTTGTATGCGTGGGAGGGTGGAGGTGGGGTGGGGGTGCGGAGTGGGGGCGGAACCACTGATGTGTGCACAAAAGGCTTCAGCTAGTCACAAGAGGCTCCAACATGTACGTCCGATGAAATATATCCCAGGACAGCATCTGCAGCCAGAGAAACGCATATTCTGAATACATGAAGATAGCGTCTCGCACATGAAAAAATTAGCCTTCAAGAGGAAGGAAGGTTTATAACGTCGAACAGCAGAACAGAACAGGCACGTCCTGTGCCCAGCTCCGTCATAAAAACACCATAAGACGCTTGGCTCTATAAGCTCCATGCCTGCGTACATTCTGGTAATGAGACCGTACAAGCCATGTACATAAAACAACCGAGATCATTTGAGCAAGCCACGCGCGCTAGCATACGTTGTCACTCACTGCCGCCGTATACGAGGCGCCGCTTTTTTCGTGTTGGTCACCTCCCGCACAAACCAACAGCTCGTAAACTTCTATTCACTGTTGCCGTGCTCTCTTAAACCAGTGGTTAGAAACGCGACCCCTATACCCTGCAGTGGGCCCATCTTGGTTCGGAGTGACAGGACGGCTTCAGCGGGCAGTGACCAGGCCCGAGTGGGCTAGTGAACGAGCCGGCTGCCAAGCTGTCCGGTTTGTTACGTCCTCGGCGGGCAGTCTGCTCACAAAGACGTAAGCGAGTTGAAAGCCACCGCCAGGGTCGATAAAACGGTTAAAATTTCGGACACAGCTGGAAGGGGTGAAATTCTCAGGATACAACATACTGGTCGGTCTCCAGATTATGGGACCAGGTTGCAGTTCATTGGCCAAGTTGCGGATCACGGGCCACGTTTCTAATCACGGGGGCAGGCTACGGGTCACCGGGACAGGCTGCAGGTCATGAGGGCAGGTTGAAGGTCATGGAGGTAGCTCGCAGATAGCATCCTGGACACCATTTAACAGTCCAGGTCATGGGGTTCGGAAATCGGTGGAGAACAGCTGGAACTCAAGACACCGCGGTAGGGCAAGGGCAAACCGGACGGTAAGTTCATCGGTGGAAAGAGATTCGAGCTCCGGACAATATGGCAGCATGAGGGGTCACGCAGTAAGATCAGCAGTGGATGATAGTTGTTCACAACACCGCACTCACAGGGTAGGCCACAGGGTCAGGTTATCAGAGCAATATAGCTGACAGTTCATGCTTCATTGTGACCGATGCAGGTCACAGTTAGTCAGCGGTGGAGGACAACAAGGATTCCAGAAAACGTTTGACGATGTTAACATACGTGCCATTCAAGCCAAGCATTTAATTTGAGTCGTCGAAAATGAGTCGTCTAGCATGGGTGGTTGGCAACCTCAATGCGCTGAACTTGTGGACCCCCGTAACCGGGAGAAGGCGTCTCGCGTCACAAAGAGACGTCAAAAAACCACACCGGCAGCCAATAAAGAGGCAGGCTGGAAAACGACGACGAGGTCAGAGTGGAATGTCTAAGGCGCCAGAGGCTAACAAACGTCAAGGAGGTAAGCGTCGATACAGGTGGGCAAGCGTTGGTGACTGTCAGACGCCGACAACACAGGCAGACAGACGTCGACGACGCAGGCAGACAGACACGTGGGCGGGCGCGACAAAGCCCGCTCCGGCGATGCGGCCCATACTTAAGATAGTACCAGTGAAAATATGTCCTGAGTGACAGCAAACTTCACCCAACATATCCCAAACGACCTTATAGAGTGTTGGAGCAGGTGCACTCATGGCTTCCGCTTCAGTTACGGGAGCCTTGGCCTTACCGTCACTCGTCCGTCTATTCAGCCGCAGCACTACTGACCGGGCTTGCCAAAAACTGATCCACGGCCGTCGCTCCTTGCCCCAAGCCATGCTGGTTGCATTTCACGCCGGCAGCTGCGGGCGCAGCAAGCAGCTGCGCATTCAAAACCTTGCCCACCGGCATGTGGCTCCGCACGGACCACCCGACCAGCGCGGATCGCAACTGCGAGATCGTACGCTCTTTCTCCGCACAGTGGCGTGCCCAGGCCCACCGCGCGGCGGCGTCATTCAACCTGTCTCAACGGGACAGGTCAGGGGTCAGACCACTGTTGGCAGACAGCTCGAATTCCGGACGCCAGTGGTGGTAGGCCACGGGACACAGCCAGTGGTGGAGCGCTGGAGGATTAATAGAACTGTGGTCTTTGTTGCAACAGGACAGGCAATGCGGTGAGACGATTGATGGAGGGTAGCTAGAGCTCCGGACACCGTTACGGCAAGACAGGCAATGTTGTCCGGTCACTTGTGGACATCTGGAGCTTCGGCATCGCAGCTACTGTTGCGACATCGTTGCTGTTGCAGAATGAGATGTCCGTGTGCAGTGCACGGAGCCGGCTGGGGCTGCTGACGGACGGCGACAAGGCGGTGAAGCTGCTCTATGACGAGACGTTACCGCCCAGCACCGTGCAGCTGCTGAAGCTGGGGACGCCGGCGCACGTGCAAGAGCTGCTGCGCGCCGCTGAGAGCTCAGCGCCAACGGTGCCGCTGGCCGAGGTCTAACTGCGCGCGCCGGTGACGCAGCAAGGTGCTCAAGAGGTGCACAAGGTGCTCTGCATCTGCATAAACTACATGAACCACCGCGTCGAGCGAAACCACCCAGTGCCCACCGAGCCGGTGGTGTCCAACGAGTTTCCGAGCTGCATCGTCAGCCCGGCGGACGGCATCATGCTGCCGTCGGCGACGAGCCAGGTGGACTGGAAGGTGGAGCTGGCCGTGGTGATCGGGCAGCGCTGCCGGGCCGCCAGTCGGGAGCAGCCCGCCGACTACATATTCGGCTACACGGTGGCGCACGACGTCTCGGTGCGGGACTGTCAGCTGCACCGCAACGGCGGCCAGTGGCTGCTCGGCAAGGCCATGGACACGTTCTGCCCGCTGGGGCCGAGCCTGGTGACGGCCGACGCGCTCGAGCCTCACGCTCTGGCGCTCGCCTGCCGCGTCAACGGCGCCACGCGCCAGAACAGCACCACACGCCAGCTGGTGTTCGACTGTCATCAGGTGGTGGCGCACATCTCGCAGTGCCTGACCCTGCTGCCCGGCAACGTCATCTTAACAGGCATGCCACCCGGCGTCGGCGTGTTCATGAAGCCGTCGCAGTTCCTGCAGCGTGGTGATGTCGTCGAGTGTCAGGTTGAAGGCATCGGCACCATCCGCAACCGAGTGGTTTAAGCGGCGCCATCAGTGTGTGCTTCTCGCGATGGAAACGGTCTCACAAATAGGTGGACGTTATTTCATTATCAGGGTGAATGTAAAAGGGATGCCCTCATGCCCTCATGGCCAGTGACCATATCCCATATGTGTGATTCCTGCCAACCGGGGAACCATATGTGGCAATACACCACACGATACGTCACATGGAGTCTTCCTGACGAGAAACGGAATTATGCACAGGAAGCATCATCTAGATTCCGGTGTCGCGTCTTGTATCGTAGCATCCGAACAGAACCTTTACCATGGCAGACATTTCAGTCCACTGTGGGGCCACAGATTGAGTACCTATTGCAAGCTATACTCAGTAACGTATATGACAACATTAACACTTAAATTCAGATCAAGTATTCGTGTTATGTGTTGCATGTCGATCCATTTGTTGTTTCAGTGTTTTCATATTTGGTAGAGCTGAAGGCATGCTCCGTTCGCTTTAATTTACTGATCTTGCATGCGTAGGGTCACTCGGTCATCTCCCGCGCCGATAGTCACGAGCCTGCCTCTCCGCTTCCTAGTCCCCAGGCATGCCGAACCTACTGAGCTGTGTGGCTGCATTGGTCACAGTGCTGTGTAAACATAACATGGTATGCTGACTGTTTATGTTTGTACTTTCGGTGTCAATGACAGCTCACGCGGCATCTCTGGCGGCCAGGTCCTGAACTGAGCGCGGCTGGACCCGCTGAACCTCTCACCGGGGGACTTCACGGACTGGGCCACCGACCGGGGCAAGGCGGATGACATCTCCAACCAGCACAAGTCAGACCTCGGTACGCACCGCCGTGCCAGAGCGATGCCTTTGTTGATAGAGCAGCGGGTGCCAGCGGAATCTGTAGTTACATGGGTGTTATTGAATAGCTCCCGACCGTCCTATTGATAATTACCGCCTACGCAGCTCCCGCTGACCGTCATCACCGCCGCCAGCTGACTCGTTCAGTGAGCAGCTGACGGCGTCTCCCTCACCTGTGGAGCCGGCGCCGTCCATCGGGCGCTGCAAGGTGCTCTGCGATTACGTCAACGTAAACGACGAGATCGTCATCAAGGAGTGGGTATGCTGGCGGCACCCGCTGCTGACGCCTGCAGCGGTGCCCTAACTGGTGTCCACCCCACCGACTACCCTGGCGGGACGGCTGTAGCTTTGTTTCTGCATGTGCCTTGACTCAGAGAAAGAGTAACGGACTCCGGGACGAAAGCAGCAGCACTGTCGGTTATGCTTTTGTTTCCCGCCTCCGTCGACGCGAGCGGTTGCGACGCTCTTGTCCGAACAGTTGCATGAGTCGTCGTCTGGTCCAAAGCCTTTAAGAATTCGCGTGCGAAAACGACTGAACATCTGCCTACGAAGTTACAGCTGGATGTATTTGTGCGATGCATTACTATGGGACAAAATAGTCGTATATGTCCAATAGTTCAATTCTTCATGCTGCTGCCCGTCTCGGTACTGCTGCCCCAGACCCCGTCTCACTGGGGCTGACCTCGTTCGCTGTGCCCAGGTCACATCATCAACATGCACGACAAGCAGGAGGACGGCTGGTGGTTGAAGAGTTGAACGGCACCGCCGGTATCTGCCCCGCCATCTACGTCCAGGAGCTGACCTGACCACGTGACGACGCGCAGCGTCCGGCGGCGGCCGTCGGCGGCGTCACGTGGCAATACCAGCGACGCCAACCTAAAGAGCGAGCCGAACCGAATGAGGCCCTGAACCAACGTTCAACGTTACAGAAAACGCGGCAGAGCCCGTCTTGGCGACCTTGACGTTGGAAAAGCTGTAACTTCTGTGATGCAGTGTACCGGTCCAAGATTCTGCATTGATCATAATCAGGAGGTTCATATCTACCAAAGTTCCGAGTTTGGAAGGAATTGAAGGGGTCGACATTCCTACAGCGATTTTTCATCGTGACATACCTCTGGCAATAGGACGTACCGGTCCAAAATCATATGCTCATTACACGAATAAATTTAAGGTAAGTAGTACTGGTCTTATCCCTAGGAGAAGACCAGGAGAATGAAAATATAGTTGGGTTGATATTTCGGTAGCATGCTTTTATCGAAACAATAGCAGAAGTGAATCAAAATTGCCTATCGATGATCCTACTCGATTTTTCAGGCTTTTTTGAAACAGCAAGCCACAGTTGTTACAAGACACCAACATTCAGGGGATTAAACAAAGAGCGACTGCCAGCCATTACCACCATAAAGTCCCCATCTAGGAATTAGAATACGCAAACATACGTGTACATGCAAACGAATTTAAGCAAATTGACATCACGCATCACACTTCACTCAAACATACAAGCGAGTTGAAGTAAACAGGAATCACACATCGCGCCTCAATTATACATGTGAACGATTTCAATTGAACAGGCATCGCACATCATGCGGACAGGCATCACTTACATATGTAAACGATTTAAGCTAGCGCACATCACGTATAAAGGCACATATCATGTTTGCATGATCTGTCATGATGAGCCCTGTATGTTAAGATTTGGTCGCCGACTTTTTATAAGAACGGATTCACTTATTTTACTGTCTGGATGGTTCTGTGCTCTATAACACAGAGCACAGAACCACCCAAACATGAGAATAACTGGGTGGTGTTGTGCTCTGTAGCACAGAGAACAGGACCACCCAGACATGAAAATAAGTGGATCCACTCGTATCAAAAGTCGGCGACCAAATCTCACCATTCAGGGCTCATCACGGCCGCTCATGCGAACGTGATATGTGCCTTTATATGTGATGTGTGCTAGCTTAAAATTGTTTACATGAATAAGTGATGCCTGACACATGATGTGCGATGCCTGTTCAACTGAAACCGTTTGCATGCATAATTGATGCGCGATGTGGGATGCCTGTTTACTTCAACTCTCTTGCATGTTTGGGTGAAACGTGGTGCGTGATGCCTATTTGCTTGAATTTGTTTGCATGTATGCGTATGTTCGCGCATTCTAATTATTAGATAGGGACTGTATCGTGGCAATGACTGACGATGGCTCTTTGTTTAATCCCATGAATGTTGGTGTCCTGTAAAAACTGTGGCTTGCTGCTTAAAAAAACGAAAAATCGAGTAGATTCATCGGCAGGCAATTTTGAATTCACGTCTGCTATTGTTTCGATAAGGACATGCTGCCGAAACATCAACCCAACCATATTTCCATTCTCTTGGTTTTCTCCGAGGAATGAGGTTTACGCTACTGCCTAATCCATGTGAATAATGTTCCTCGGAACTTACTCGGGAAATTAGGATACATTTGTCCATAATTTACAGTTCCACCTTAAAGGTCCGCTGAATATCGAATGTGAGACTGAGTCGAGGATGAGGAAAATGTGGTCCATGCCTAATGCATGTTTGATACCTCAGCGACCTTGACATTTAAAAATCTATAACTTTTCTGATAAAGCGTACCGGTCCAACTATATGTTATTCGTAATGAGTTCAACATCTAAAAGTGTGCGCAGTTTTGAAAGAATTAAAGGAGTCTACATTTGTATTGTGATCTTTCATATTGATGAATCTCCGGTAATAAGGCGTACCGGTCCAATATTTTGTGCTCATTATGCTCAAAGATTAAACTGCATCTGTTCACATTCACAGAGTTTAAGGCCATTATAAGGAGTCCGCTGAATATCGAATATGAAACTGGGCCAAGGATCATAAAATGCAATGCGGCTTGATTGGCGACCTCGTCACTAGAACAGTTCAAGGCCATGTAATGAGGTGTGATCATCCGGGGATTTTTCCGTCACTTTTTCACCATTACAGTGACGTCACAAAGTGTCAGACTGGCATCACCACACCGCTTGAACTACCTTCGCGTATTCTACACCGGTGCACCTGCTAACAGATGCATCTAGTGGTCGCCACAGGGCACTTCAAGAAGTACTATGAGGGAACAGGAAAGGGGATTTCTGGCACGCTGATTATAAAACAGCGAATATAGGCCAAGGAACCAAGTGCTTAGGATGTCAAACATTGAATCTTTGGCGATGCATTGAAGTTAACCTACCTACAGCTGCTTAAATGCAGATTGGTGAGCCTGCTTAAGGTCCAGACACTGCCAAAGGAAGGACCAAGCAGCACCAGGATCATCATCCGACCTGTCGCGTTGAGCCTCAGCACTATACATAATGACGCGCCGGGTTGCAATGGTGTGCGATTGAGGCAATTTGAGACGACGGAAGTGGTATGCTGCCTGGTAGAACGTAGGACATTGTAGACATTGCGCATTGCGTCAACTATGCCACGAAGCCTCCGAGGGTCCTTGCGCGTGTTGTTAATCAAGATCATATCCGTCACGCCACGTAGCCAATTTATCGAACACAAGTATGACTCATAGTTTGCCGCATTTTACTAAAACTATTCTTGCGCCCAGCATACACTTCATTGTGCACACTTAGCAAAAACCCAAAATAAACAGGGGGGCGGAGAACACAACTATAGATTTTTCAACTTAAATCTACAGTTATGCGACATGATAACCAGTCTGAAACAACCCAGACGGTTGTGTGCGAAGGAACCGCCTATGCCTCAGACAGACACACAAGCATGCAATACAAGAAAGAAGCCATAACGATGCTCACTTAAGCTCACTTACGTATGCTCACATAAGCACAACGATGTTCGCTTCGCGCTGTCCACCTGATGTCGCACCTGTTTAGCTGCGTGCCTGGCAGCAGCTCGCTCAGCCCCAGCCTGATTAAGCCATCTGAGGCGCAGATGGATGCGCGTCTTCACCAGCCTCCAAGCAATCCACTTGTCCAGCGCAAAACTTTTATAGCAGGAGCTTTGTGAGGCGGTCCACGATACCAATGTCTCGGTCTATGCCTCGGCCATCACTAGTTGGGACACGATCTCGAAAGCCTCGAGAACGCCCGTCCAGGCCAGTAACGGCACCATCAGACCATCCTGGCTAATCGTGTGTATCCAGCTGTCTGGCACATAGCTGGGTGGTACCCTCCGGTTC